CCCTTCCCCGGGGCTGAGGCGGCGGCTTCCCCGCAGGCAGCACGCCGCTGGGCTGCTACGGGAAGCTGGTGGAGTACTGCCGGAACGGGGACCTCTCCTTCAAGTACGTGAAAACCTTCAACATGGACGAGTACGTGGGTGAGTGCCCGCGCACAAGCAGTATTTGGCTGTCGTTCTCTCTTCTGGTGTGCGTTCTAGATCTGTCCGTATCGTGTGAATGCCTGGCTGCTGGGGCAGGGCCGCCGGCCTGCCGGAGGGGCCGATGTGCCCCCAGCCCTCGGTACTGCAGCCGGACAGCCCCGTCAGCCGTGGTGGGTACAGAAAATCCCACCTGCAGAAGATGCGAGGGAGCAAGGATAAAATTTGCGTTAGCCAAGGGAGTGAACAGGGGCAATCTGAAAACCTATGTAAGAACTATTAAAGGGTATCAGGTGTTGCCTGGTATTAGACACACTAAACGCTGCTGTATTTTACCTGAACTTAGGTATTGACCAGCTCAGGATCCATTTTATCATTGCAAGCCGAGATAATGTGCAATATCAACTACCACCTTTGCTCTGGGATTATAAAGATCATTTTAGCTTCAGGTCTCTTACAAGGACCAATGTGATAGCTGTCCGAGTGCCCTTCTGTAACCATAACCACTGCGCACTCCTGTTAAGATAGCAGAGGACTCTTTCGTTTATGAAGCAGTGATGAAATAGCCCCTTCAGAAGAGTGCAGAGAGATTAATGGGCAAGCCTAAAGCTCCAAAGGTGAAAAACATACAGGCTAAACATTTGCTAATGCTAATTTTACTCTGGTCAAGAATTTTTTTCTGTGAACAATCTTAATCAAGCAGCATTAGAGGACAGGCAGTCCAGTGTGGGTTTATAGCATTTAAGGGAAAAACAAATATGCAGCAAGTTATTAACCAGGCTTCTGCACAGCTTTTTAATTGTTCTTGCTGATACAAACTGGGAGGAAGGCTGAAAAAGTAGTAACAGATGAACCACAGTGCATGCCTGCTTTTCTGGAACATCTGTTGCATGTTAATATGAGCAAGTGTCTTTTAGGAGCTGTTGTGATTGCTTTTAATTTTGCTATTTAGGGAAATAAAAATAATTCCTGAAAGTTGAGGGAGTCACAAATGACAGAAAGAGAAAGCAGTGCTCTGTTACCAAAGCCGCTGCAAGGACATATAGGTGGTTTATGTTATGGGCGATACTCTCAGTTGGTCTTAGTCCTGTGCATGCTTTGTTACCAGGTCTCCCAAGGGATCACCCGGAAAGTTACCATTCCTTCATGTGGAATAACTTCTTTAAGCATATTGACATCTCTGCAGAAAACGTTCACATTTTGGATGGAAATGCACCTGATCTACAGGCGGAGTGCAACGCATTTGAGGATAAAATCAAGGCTGCTGGAGGAATTGAACTCTTTGTTGGAGGTGAAAGCCTAAAGGACTAGTGGTCTCTAAACACTGGCAGGCAGCACTGCCTCTCCTCTACCAGCTATCTCATTTATGGTCAGGAGAGTTCATTTTCAGTGCAGTTCAGTGGATTTGCAGTGAAAGCCACCCCATAGTCCACCACCCTGGGCAGTCTTGTGTGCTGGCAGCCATGTCTTCCAACGTACCACTCCCCCAGTTTCGATTCAGTCAGTGGATTGTTCAGGAAACAATCAGGAGAAAAAGGCAGGGCTAGAATTGTACAAAATACAAAACGTATTACAATTGCCAGCACTAACAGGAAACTGCTAGGAGTAGTCGGAGTCCTCCGAGTCAACACAAGCACAACGCAGGCTTTTCCCATCAGTTTGCCTTAAGATTCTGCCATCTACTTTCCTTTATTGTTGTCCCAGCACAGTTGGGGAAGAGCCTCTGTTGGCTTCAGAGGGGGCTTTTGCTATCATTCCTACCAGAAGCAAATTTAAGCTCGAGCAGAAAAATTGCAAGTGTCTTTCTCAGATCTGTATCTATTCCTGGAAGTATCGAATGTCCTTCTAATAGGAGTGCTGTTGGCTCTGCTTCCTACAATAACCACTACAGCCACTGACCACCTTCTCAAACTGTCTCCATCACAGGTATTGGCCCAGACGGTCACATTGCCTTCAACGAGCCTGGATCAAGTTTGGTATCCAGGACACGAGTGAAGACCTTGGCTATGGACACTATATTGGCTAACGCCAGGTTCTTTGATGGTGACCTCTCCAAAGTCCCCACAATGGCTTTGACAGTCGGAGTAGGCACTGTCATGGATGCCAGAGAGGTGAGGAGAAAAGCAGTGACATCTTACAGTAGCTCTTGAGCAGGGCCTCCTGGAGCAGATAAAGATTTATCCAGGCTCGGAGCAGCGATGCACCCTGCTGGCGCAGGCCAGCTTATGCTTCTCCTGCCGCAAGCAGCTGAATACCTGATCCTCCTGTGCCCTTGCATCCTGCAACACTGCAGAAAGGCTCTTGCTCCCTGTTCCGTTTTTGCTCTACTAACACTTACGCATGTGTAACCCGGCAGTACAGTTGTTGTCCACAGGGAGCTAGAAGGATTTGGGAGGATGTCTCTGGTTAAGAATCTCATCTGGGGAAGGAACTGAAAGAATCACTTGTTGACTTGATGTTACACCAGCAGATCATGAAAACTGTATGGGATAGCTTTTAATTGACTCTATACCTTGATTTATACGTGTTAAGTCTCAGCATATAGGTGCCTAACAGGGGAGCTCAAAGGATCCACATCATTACAATGACCCACCAGGCTATGATTTAATTGACAATATGCAGCGAGAGCAAACAGAATCATGATACAGTGAAGTGCCCCTGCAGAGGATGAGAGAGATATCCCCATAAGGGACTGGGGCAACTCTCTCTTAGTTCATCATGGTGTGGGTGTGCGCTCTCTAAATGCATCTTCTAGACCCTAATTGCCAGCCTCTCTGTCTCGGAGTCCAGGTGATGATTCTCATCACGGGAGCCCACAAAGCCTTTGCTTTGTACAAAGCCATTGAGGAAGGCGTCAACCACATGTGGACAGTGTCTGCTTTCCAGCAACACCCCAACACTGTGTTTGTGTGCGATGAGGATGCCACACTGGAACTCAGAGTTAAGACGGTGAAATACTTTAAAGGTGAGTGTTTGACCAGGCCAAGCAGCTGGTGTACTTAGTTCTGAAGTGGCACAAGCCATGCTTTGCATTAGATGTTTCTGTTTCATCAACTCTCAAATGAGTACATTCCTTAAATGTAACAGCTGAGGTGTACAGCAATAATAAAAGTGCAAAGGTAAATGCTTAACTGCGTGGCTATGGGAGCAAAGTAACAAGGACTCTAGTAGTCTCTAATTTCATTAGCATCCAATGAATGAGAATTTTGCGTTATTACGTCTGCTTAAATCATGTTTTTACTCTCTACATCAGGTTTAATGATGGTACACAACAAGCTTGTGGAACCCTTATACAGCATGAAGGAGATGGGAGCAGAAGGAAGCCAGTCTAAGAAGCCATACAGTGATTAATCTCCCTGTTCAGAGTAGTGCTGAACCAGCTTTTCTGTTGAAAACCAGCTGTGAAAGAAGGGAATTGCTGCAGAAACTCATCTCCTATTTGTTCTTAAATTAGCAAAATGATTATGTGCTTGCTTCTCACTATTAAAAAGGCAGATGCCAAACACCTGCCTTAATTAACCAAATGAGGATGGGATCCAGTATACTGTGTTCCACGAACTTCTGCCACTAGCTTATTCTCTGAAGGTAAAGTCAGTGGAGAATGAGTTGTTTAATCTATAAAGCAACTGTAATCATGTGGACTGAAGGCCACAAAACTTAAATGTGAAGCTACATGAAAGTACAGTATTACAGAAACCAAACAGGTAATCACTTTGGGATGTATTCCTTGCAATTAGGACAAGTATCTCGTGTGTCATTTCCCCTCCACAGAACACTTACATTATAGTAATTTAAAATGGAAACTGAGCTTGTTCTGCCTGGAGAAGGGAGAGCATCACGATGACCTAGTAGCAGTGTGCTTCACAGCCACGAGGAGGTCATCGAGAAGATGAACCCAGACTCTCCTCGGCAGTGTGCGGGGGGAACATGAGAGGAAACAACGGGGCTTGAGTTGAGACAAGATGCTGAGACTGGATATAAGGAAAAAATCTACCCATGAGGACAGTCAAGCAGTGGGGCAGGTTCCCCAGAGAGGCTGTGCAGTCTCCCTCCTCAAGAGGTTTTCAGGACCTGACTATAAAGCCGTGGCTGAACCCCGCTTTGAGCCAGATGTTGGACTTGAGACCATCTCAGCAAGAGAGGCTACAGGCAGCATTCACCAGTGCTAAATTAATAACGCAGTTTATGCATCTGTACGATTTTATTTGTTGTCACACAAGAAGCCTTACATGTTCAGTTTCAAGGTATAATTTTCTGCGCCCTTGTGCTTTATGAAGCGCTACAGGATTTGTTCCGATTAAGCATGACTTCTCCCTGTGCTGCTCAGCACTCTGTGTTGGTACAGAGCCTGAAGCACTTACGTTCTCTCTCCCCACCTTCCAGTGTTTTACATTGCTACAAGGAAACGGCAAATAAGCCTGGAAGGAAACACTCCGTTCGCTCTGGCTTCAGCCTATGTTTAATTACAGAAGCCCCACACTGGTGGACAACAGCCTGTACTGGCAAGACCCCACCAGATCTGAAACTTGATTCCTGGTTTTCCTATGAAATGCTATCACATGAGAGGCAAGACAAACTGGGCAGCATTTATTTTCTTTAGGCAGAAATTTTGTAAGCTGTTGATCTGTAATGCAACTTTCTACACTAAATGTCTTTGATTTTTTCTAAATGGTCTCATTGACTGTATCTGGTGCTCAGTCTCACTGCACTAGTGAAACATGGGACAGTTTATGTGGCTGAACAGGACTTCTAATACCATCTCTGAACAGAACAACAAAACCTTGAAAGCATGAGAAAAGACCTGTTATTTTGCACTAGATTTCTCTATCACCTGGAACCAAAGTTGTATTGAAAGCAGTTTGGTAGAAATAGCTACTGCTGTCTGCCTTGTCCAGTAGTTGCTGGCAGGTTTCCACCAAACACCTGCTATGGTTCGGTCCTGCCAGGCAGCAGCCATTTCACATAAAAAACTGGGGATCTTTAAAGGAGAAAGGAGGAGGTCACAGCTCTCTACCTAGTGACACTCTGATCCCTGTGGGCATGCACAGAAATGGAGGAAGTGAGGTTTGCGAGAGGGAGGAAGAAACACTCCGCCCTGTTACCAGAGTTGCCTGCCTTGCTCTCTTGTCTGTGAAGACAGGTTCTGGTTTTAGCTGTCCTACCTCTGCAGTACCAGCTGATTGTCCTACGAGTGCAGTCACCTGCTTGTCCCCTCCTCAGAGGGTCTGTCCTCTGCCTCACTGCAGGATATAGGAGTTCCAGCCCAGGGGTCCCCAGGTGCCCCAGAATTCGCAGACGCAGTTGTGACTACATCACCGTTCCTCCTCTCTCCACACAGTCCTTGAAAGCAGAGGTAGTTCCTTGCAACATCTTCCAATACTTCACTATAGCACTTGTGCTCTGGCAGACATCCCCAGCCACGGCCCTTCATCCCAACATACCCTTTGGCATCCAGGCCCTGCCCTCAGCCCACCTCTGTCTTGGCAGAAGGCACCTGCCCAGTCTCCTGCAGGTTTAAGAGATCCAACACCATCTCCTCCGTCCAGGCAGGAAAACAGGGTTTAAGCACATGCTTCTCCTTGTCACAAACGTTCCCCATCTGCCCACATATGCAGGTTAGCAGGAAAATGGCCCCTTCCGAAAGCAGGTGGCTTTTGGATTCAGCCTGTAGACTTGAAAATTGTGGCCAGAGTGGAAACTACTGTGGGGATTGCAGCTCAAAGCTGGCTCCATCCAATGCAGTGTTCCCAGAGCATTGCCATGACAGCCACCGTGTATCATAGGCATTTGCATCTCCCAGGGAAAACCAGGGCTCTGCATCCATAACCGTCCAAACTTTTTCTTGGAACACATCCTGTGCCAACTGCGCTGGAGAGCTCTGTGCGAGCCCAGGTCTGGCCTATCTCGTTCTACAGACGCCGCCGCGAGCGAGTGACTCGGCCTCGTGGCACACAAGCACTAAAAGGCTGTCGCCACCCAGACGCAGAACAGAGCTCTGTCCCACACTGACCTGCGCTGCCATGTACGCGCCATAATGAAGACAAACAGGGAAACAACTATGTTTACTGTCTTAAAGTGAATTTAGTGCATGTGAAAGGTGCAGGAAATACAATTTAAACCATACACAATGTAAACTTCCCCTACAAACTGTCCTATAGTCTAAACCAAGATGAGAGATCTGCTCTTGCCATCTCTTTTTAATTGCTGTGAATTCTAATAGTACAGACTTTCATCCTCTGTGAAAGGAACTAAATCAGCACTCATTTTGGCCAGATAGCCAAGTATGAATTTACTTACTAACAGTCAAAACTGAGTGAGAGGTGTTTACCTTGAGTTTCTAAAGAGTCCTCCAGCTCCTGAGCAATCCATCTGGACCCAGCGAGTTGTTTTGAACACGGCACATGCAGTTTTAATTTCAAAATAAATTTTTAGACCATTCTGCAAGTGGAAAAACTTCTAAAAAATCAGTGGTTCCCTCCAGTAATTACTTTCATGCTCACAAAACTACTTAATGAGCTTTCAGGGGAAACAATTTGGGTTTTGAAATAATTTGAAGGGCAAGACCAGTGGAAATCAGGGATCTAGTCCAGAAGCAAAAACTATCAACTAATCAAATTTCTTATATGAAGAGTTAGTAAAAAATAAATTACTTCATCAACTGAGGAGACAAGGTCATTTTCAATATCTTAAAGAATTCAAGCTAATCTCAACTACATATCCATAAAAATGTGTTTCAATATCTGACTGATACTTTTCACCCTCTCACTGGCCACATACTCAGTTCATTGCCTTAGCACTCATCACTGTCAAAATAAGGAGAGCCCGTGTGAGTGAATACAACAGCAACACTGATGTGCATCATCAAACCGATTCAAATTTCTGGAAATGGCTGTTGGTAATTTTCTGCCGAAGTATTCAGTAATGCAAAGACCTAGGCATTACAGCCAGTAAGAAGGGGGTTAGGGATAATCAACTTTACCGTCATTAGAAAGTACCAGTGACAGAGCAACGACCTGCTTTTCAGCGAAACAGGTCAGGAAATGGTGTAGAAGCAACAGGCTCAGTTGCTGAATACAGAAGTTTACTGTATTGTCTCAGAAAACTTTCCTTGTCCAAGCAGCATCACTACACAGCTCCAGAAAGAGCATTACAGCTTATAATAAAACTGCCCTAAACCCCACCACGGATATAAGCCAAGATCCTCAAAACGTCAGTCACCCTAAACAAAACCCCTAAATATTTCTATGATTTTGGGGCTTCAGTTTTGTTTGTTTGCTTTTGAAAAAAGGGCACCTCTTAGTATGTTTTTTTCCAGTAATTTTCCAACTTCTGACTGGTTATATTTGTCTTTAACAATCAATATGATTATTAGGGCCTTCCATGATGATCCTGACCACAGGATGGGTAAAATGCCCTCCTTTGGTTTTGGCAACAGCCTCTGAAGTGCGAGCATCCTGCAGTGCAAGGTAGTTGTCCTTCTTCTATCACGTAATGGAAGTGAAAAGCAAACAAACTTGACACAAAAATGGAAAGCATCTGTCTATGGTTTGTTCAGCTTTTGTTGCTAGAGAAAGCTACTAGTCTTCATCTTCAGCTTCCCAGAACTCACCATCAATATGCATGGCTTGAAACAATCTGCAAGACAGCCAGTAATTTACATCAGGATGTAAAAAAAGTATCATAAGTTAAAAAGAAAAAAAAAAAAAAAAATCAATCTAAATGTGACAAAAAATACAAAACCAGAAAGTTTCACTAATTTTTTCAGTAACAAACCACTCAGGCTGCAGTCCTCAAAGTCAATTAAAATAAGCTACTCTCTGCTTCTACAGCCTGTTGCACCAGAAAGTTTTACAGTACCTTACAAACATGCTGTCTCAAGATATCCCTGAAAATATTAATAATCCAAGACGTATTAAGTTACCTAGCATGCTGCCATATAATCAGCAGCCCAGCCTGCCTGCTCCAAACAGCTTACAATCTTATCGGACAATACAGAGCTGGGCAAACAACTATAACATATAAGCAGTGGAGGCGGGGGGTGGAACAAAAGGGAAGAAAATGGGGTTTTTTTATAAGACAGATGAGCTTAGTCAAGACAGGTAGACGTTAAGCTAAACTAAAAGAAAAAAAGAACACCAGAAGAAAAATAGAAAGGAAAACAGGGTAGGAAGTGAAAAAATTCCTGTTGGGAGAAGAGGGAATGCTGAAAAAGAAGGGCAAGAACGAGGGGCGGGGGGGAAAAAATCCTGTCAGCTCTATTACAGCAGAACAGAGGGTGGAGGATTGAGTAAACTATTGGTATTCTGACTTGCGTATCCAGGCATTACATATCCCAGTGACGGGCACATAACCCAATGGAATACACACAAGCTTAGAGGCTGCCATTATTACGCCTCTCTGACCTGCCTGCCCTTTCCTTTGTCCAGATAGCAGCGACATCCTTTGTCTCTTGACACAACCCTAATAGTCATGATGTGAGGCAAGTCTGCAGCTTTTTAGAAGCAACTTTCTTACCCAAAACCTTGTGTTGCACCTGAGCAGCTGCAAGGAAACATTTCACTACAGGCTGTCCCTCAGTCAGAGGCAGCAAACAAAGCATCAGGAATAGGCCCAGAAGACTCCTCCAGAATTTTAAAACAGAAGTTCTTAAAAAGCAAAACCATAGCCTGATTCACTCCTGATTTCTTTTATTGTTAGCACTGGGTTCTTCTAAGTGTAAATATTTGAGAGAAGAAACTGTGTCTTAAACTGTATAGCTACAAATTTCAAGGTAGGAATAACCTGGGAGAGACTGTAAGAAAAAGCAGAAAAATAAGGCGTACAGCACTAGAAGAAATCTGTGTAAATGCATACCTATTAAAGCACGGGGAAGATGGATCATTGAAGTGCCTGTATGGGTTCACCCTTGACAGAGAACCCATACAAAGCCAGCAGAAATACTGCATGCAGCCAGTACACGTCATTTTGTTACAACCATCTAGTTTCTGAGGGGAAAAACACAAGAAATAGCAATAACAAAATCTTACCATGTCAGACTTCAGGCCTGTCTCTCTATGACAACAGTCCTCAAAAAATGCAGCAACTAATGAATACATTTTACCCCAACTCTATCATAACACTGATATTTTTTCACTGTTCAAAACAACTAGGAGCTAGAATCACAGAATTGTAAATTGGCTATAATACTAATAATACAGGAAATTAATATTTTTCTGAAGCTAGTTTTATTTCCTGGCTGTAGTCTGAAACAGCAGTAGCCTGAAACACATGGAAAACAAACAGATTCATATGGATCCATAGTCAACCTGGGTCTTTCTAGTACTGGAGTCTGAACAATACCAGTTGCTGTATTTACTCAAGTCCCTGAGCTCCAGAAACATCACCTCCTTTTCTACGTAACAGACAGAAATGGAAAGTTCTCTTACCATTTCCTAGAAATTTACGTCCCTGGTGAACTTGGAGGCTACAAATAAATCTCTGTTCCATCTTAAATACAGAACTGACTTATTTTACATTAGTTTTTGTTAAGAGTTACTATGATTCTTCAGCCTTTCCCCTCCATGCTTACCTCTATATGAGTACCACAGCAAGGACAAGACTTTGAGTTCTTTTCTAGCCATTCTTTACTCTCCATCTCCTCAAGGGCTTTCTGAATCACTCGTTTGCCATAGCGCTGTTCCAAAAATCTTTTAGTTGCCTCATCTGCTTCTAAGTATTCGTTTCGCAAATCCATTAATTTCTCTGGGGAATAAAACAAAACAGCAACCAAAACAGCTTTTGTAATATATTACATAAAGAAGTCCAGCTAACAACAGCACAAAGTATTCTCGAAGGAAACTAACATCATTAATTGAAAAGCAAGTAAAACATTAGAATACGTAAGAAAAAGATGAGAATACTAAAACCCCTCTACCCCAAAATTCAATGGTTTTACACAGTTTCATTATAAGAGACCAGTTGGTGGAATTAGAACAAGTCTACAATGTAAAATAAACTGAAAAATTGAAATATTTCTTCTGAACACACATTTAATGAAACTTTCTCACAGGATTTTGACGCTAAACAGACAGAGAAGCATCCACCTGATTCCAGTATCAACTCTGACAACAGAAAGTAGTGGATTCCTAAGAAAGGGTAAAAAAAAAGGCACACATAAAATTATTCTTCCCCTGCTATGGCCTCTCGGCATTTGGCAATCAGCAGTTTAGGGACCTCTTGGGCTCTGGAGTGTCATCACAGAAATAATTTTTACTTGCCAGCAACAGATCTACTCCAAATGAACCTGTCTAATCTTTCAGAAAGCTCACGAGGTGATGAGTTTCCTTGCTTAATTTCTGACTTTCAGTCTTTTTCCCACAAGACTTTGTTGCTTCTTGACCCATTTCTGAAATATGATGACTCACCTGCAGTGACTTTACACGGAGAGACGCCATGGTAAGTCATTTTACAGAGAGTACAAAAAGCATAGTTGCAACAGGAACACATGCCCATGGTGCAACCTGGTTCTTGCATGACCGGTGTCTGACAGCCTGGGCGAGGGCAATACACTACATCTGCCATCAGGTCCAAGCTAGACTGCAGGAGCAGGCGGTCATAACGTGCAAACAGCTGCTCTCCAACCAACTCTTTAACCTAAGCAAAGATCAAAGAAGGATTACATGCATCTGAAATTCTGAGCCTGCTAGCTTCAGCAAAAAGCAGTAAGTCAATGAAAAAGTACCTACAGCTGGGATGAATCCACTTTATATTCTCCAACAGGCCATGAAAATACTCCTATAAATGCTATTTTAGTAATAATTCATCAAATGAAAAGCATGCGGTGTCAAATGCAATGGGACATTAATTCAGGCCTCTGACCAATGCCAGTACTTAAGAAAGTGAGCAAAATATGTGCCAAGTGATCCACTTTTCACTCCTGTGCCTCCATGTGGCTCAGAGTATGAAAAAAATTTTCCCAGGTATATTCAGAATGCTCACCATGAAAAGCCACACCTTGTCTTCTGTAATTATGGGTAAGTTAGCAGAACTCTACCATCACTGCTTGCACACTTCTATTACCTGGCCAGGAGTAGCAACAGAAGAACACTTCGGTTCTGGACAGTTGAGACAGCGGACCTGGCCATCCCTGATCTGTATTTCAAAGTAGTCCTTCAGGCATGCTTTGCAGTATACATGGCTGCACTCGGTGAAGTACATGCATTCACTGCCCAGCTTCTCACAGAAGCAGATATTGCACAAGTACATCTTACTGTTAAAGCACTTCCTCCTCTGAGCCTGATCAAAGTCCAAGATTTCCCTAATCAGACTCGACAACGATTCCACATCCTGTACAGCTCTCGCATCGATGATTTCCTCTTCAGCCATGGCAGAGCCTGCTGCACCACCACAATCCTTCTCAGCGTCGAGAGGGACCGAAGGTGTCCTACTCTGCCCATTCCCTTGATGGCACATTTTTAACTCATATGGGGAGGAAATATTGAGGTAACTCAGTGTTTCCTCCTTCAGAAACTGCATCCAGGCAAATAAGACCACACAGCCTCGATTCTCTTCCCATACGTTGTCTAAGTGTTTGCAAAGAGCACTGAGCTAGAAAAGAAAAAAACAATTCCAGATTTCAGTAAGTTCTGACAACTCGTCGCTGTTTTCCTCTTCTCTCATGGACCTCCTTAGTGCATACTCAGATTTCAGATACTGGAGTTTTTTATATATACATAAAATACATATAAAAATAATGCTCATAGATGCAATCTTTCATGCTTTCATTCCTCAGAAGGGTGACCAAATAAAAACAAGTAGGAAACAAAAGAAGAGCCAACTGAAAGAGCAATGTAATTGTTTATGTTTTAATTTTACTTTCATCTACTGCATTAACATCCCCCAGAGCACTGTTAATTATGAACTGACTCATGATTACAAGAGCTGTGTTAAAACATTAAAACTATTTTGCAAACCTGGGCTTGGGAGAGCCATTTTCCACTGAGGGTAAAGACTGGTGGGGAGGTTGACGGGTAGTCTGGTGGGAGTTCAAAATTCAGCACAAGAGGAGGCAGAAAGCAAACATTGTATTCAAATCCATTGTTCTGGAGGCTTTCTGTGGAATTGCCTGAATCAGAGACAATCGAGACAGTTTGAGAAGTAACAAGAAAATGAAAAGTAATGACCTGTAACTGTTTATGACAGCACCCAGTATGTCTTTTCATTTGATGAATTTCTGCATTTAAAATCATTTATTCAACCCTAAATAACAAAATTTCTCAGTGCAGTAAAATTTCAGGGGGCTGTACCTATATGATTAGATCAATAAACACCAGTACTCTGAAATATCTGATCCTGCACAAACCAAGAACCTGGAAAGACATATCCTCAACGGAAAAAAAAAGCACAAATTAACTTAATTATTCCAAAGAAATACTATCACTCATCTCTAATTTTAAAGTTCACTGAAGAGGTTATATGTACGAGGATGAAATCACCTACTCGGATATAAACCCCAACACGACCAAAAGCACAGCATAGGGTCAGTCATGGCTTGGTCTGGTGTGCTGGTGGCGGCTGGGACAGAGTTTTATATTTTCTCCATGGTAGCTGGTCTGGGGCTATGGTTTGGGTTTATGCGTTGGGTCATGGTGTGGTTTGGGTTTATGCGTTGCTAACTCA